GCCCTCTGGGGGGAGCCTCGCTGGAAAATCAACACCGGTTGCATAGTGTACCTTTAAGCCTGATCGTGCACCGTGTTGTGTATAGAAGGTAACGAGGGGCGATCAGCCTCTCGCAACCACCTCCCAATAAGGAATCGTGAGGTTGGGAGAAAATCAAACATGTTTAATTTTCAGTTGGCCGTCGTGGGAAAATTGCTCAGGGTTTTAGACGTACAGTGTGAGCAGGTAGATCACATCGTGTCGCACAGTGTAAGAACATGCATGTCCGGCTTTACTGGACAAGACAATGCAAGGATTCCGAGTTGCATTTTAAGAGGAAAGGTGAAAAATATAGGAAAACAGTCACACAACATATTAACCATGCACAAGCAGAAAGAAAGAAATTAGAGATGTTAATCCTTAGTTAAACAATGAAAGGAAATCTTTCTACCATTACTGGATCTATAAGGACTGGCAACAACCACAGATAGTAGCAGAAGTGGGAGGCAGGGTTTGGCACAAGATCAGAAGATCAAGACTGAGAGAAAGAAGCAATAGCCTGATGGACAAGAAAGATAAAATGAAAAAAAAATATTTATACTCAATTCCAAAGTGTAAAATCATCTTTGTCCAATAAAACGATGATCTCCTCTAAAGCTACATTATTTTCTTTTCAGATTAAAATATTATTCCTTAATTTATTTGGTAGACATACAGTATGAAATGAAAATAACTTCTGCCTCAAGGTTACCAACGTGGATCATTTGTAATGGATAATAAAAAGTTGGTATTTAAATATTATACTTTGTTTGATTAATTTTTATAGATGGAGTATTGTTGCAAAAGTCACATCTTTATTGGTCCAAATATGCACTTTAACGCATAGCTAAACCGCAATTCAAGGCAATGTTTAATTAGATTTAAAAAAAACTGTTGCAAAACAGGGAATCAGAGAGAAGAGCAAAATTTCCACAGTGAACTGGGTTATAATTATAAAAGGTTGATGACAGCTGAGAAAAGTAAAGCTGGTTTACAGGGATAATCAACAGCCTAAATCTGACAAAATGAGAGGAAACACGATCATTTATAATTAAAAGGCTCAAGGCTTTAGCTTTGATAGGAGGTAGGCTATTCAGAAGTAAGTCAATGAAGGCCAACAACTCAACATAATCTGAAAAAAAATCTTAATAAATAAAACATGTATGAAGTATTTGTATCATACAGCTGCAATTGAACACCTGAAAAAAAAAATCTATGTTGATATTTGATACAGTAGCCCCTCTTTGCAATTACAGAGGTCAAACGTTTACTTTAGTTTTTTCCCCAGGTTTTCAAACACTGCAGGAGGGATTCTGTCCCAGTTCTCCACACAGATCTTCCTTAGATCAGCCAGGTTTCTGGGCTGTCGCTGAGAAACACTGAGTTTGAGTTCCCTCCAAAAATTCTCTATTTGGTTTAGGTCTAGAGACTGGCTAGGCAATGCCAGACCCTTGATATGCTTCCTCCAAAACCACTCCTTGGTTATCCTGGCTGTGTGCTTCCCGGCCTCCAGCCGTCTTCAATGCTCTAACTGAGGGAAGGAGGTTGTTCCCAAAAATCTTGCAACACATGGCCCCAGTCATCCTCTTCTTAATGTAGTGCAGTCGCACTGTCCCATGTGCAGAAAAATACCCCCAAGTACGATGCTACCACCCCAATGCTTCACAGTAGAGATGGTGTTCTTGGGATAGTATTCATCATTCTTTTTCCTCCAAACATGGTTAGAGGAATTATGACCACAATGTTCTATTTTGGTCTCATCTGACCACATGACTTTCTCCCATGACTTCTCTGGATCATCAAATGATCATTGGCAAACCTAAGACGGGCCTTGACATGTGCTGGTTCCAGCAGGGGAACCTTCCATGCCATGCATGGTTTCAAACCATGACGTCTTAGTGTATTACCATCAGTAACCTTGGAAACAGTGGTCCCAGCTCTATCCAGGTCATTGACCAGCTCCTCCCGTGTAGTTATGAGCTTATTTCTCACCTTTCTTAGGATCATTGAGATGCCAAGAGGTGAGATTGACAGTCATGTTTAACTTCCATTTTCTAATGATTGCTCCAACAGTGGACCTTTTTCTCAAAGCTGCTTGGCAATTTCCACATAGCCCTTTCCAGCTTTATGGAGGTGTACAATTTTTTCTCTAGTGTTTTTGAACAGCTCTTTGATCTTGGCCATGTTAGTAGTTGGATTCTTACTGATTGTATAGTGTGAACAGGTGTTCTTATGCAGCTAACGACCTCAAACTGGTGCATCTAATTTAGGACAATAAATGGAGTGGAGTTGGAGATTTTGAAGGCAGACTAATGGGTATTTGAGAGCCAAAATTCTAGCTGATAGACAGGTTTCAAATACGTATTTGCTGCTGTATCAAACAAATAAATAGTTTAAAAAAAAAATCATATATTTAAATTACTGGATTATTTTTTTTTTTAGATTATGTCTCTCACAGTGGACTTTTTTTTTTCTTTAACCCTTATTTAACCAGGTAAAAATCTAATTGAGATTAAAAACCTCTTTTTCAAGGGAGTCCTGGCCAGGAGGCAGCAAAGTTACATAATAAACAGAGATTAAAATAAATGGTATATAACAGGTACATAAAAAATATATCAAGTAAAACAATTACAGATAGTTGAGGTTCAGTTTCAACTTAACAGCATTTAAAGATAAAAACTCTGTCAACCTCCAGTTTCTTTATAAAAAATTCCATGCACAAGAAGCAGCGTAGCTAAAGGCTTTCTTCCCTAGTTCTGTGTGAGCAACAGCTGATCATTGGGGCTCAGGGCAAAAGAAGTCATGTTTTTCTGTGTAAGTAAGGTACAAATGTAAGAGGGCAGTAATCCAAGAAGGGATTTTTTTTTTCTTATAAAAAAGGTAACCATAATCTAAGACTGATAAAAATGTGGCAGAGACGAGGTGCTTTTTTACCCCTAAAGAAAAACGTGTCTTATTAACTTTTAATTTCTTCACAAGTTTATCAATAAAAGGTTTGAAGGTGAGGGAGTCAACAATTAAAATTCCAAGGTATTGCTATACATGTACCACCTCAATGAAATTCCTCTTCTGAGTGGACAATACTGGAAGGGTTTGAGGCACTTTCTTATGATTTCAAAATAACATTAACTTTGTTTCGTCAGCATTAAGAAATAATTTAAGATGAATAAATGAATACCGTGCACTAAAAAAGCCTTTCTGTAGGGAATTAATAGCCTGTTCAAGAGATGACCCAAAGCAATACATAATGGCATCATCAGCATAAAAATGCATATTAGGATCAGAGAAATTTTGTTCAACATTGTTGATGTACAAGATAAATAAGAGGGGCCCCAAAACAGATCCTTGTGGCACATGCACCTATGATGACCCCTCCATGAGTTCTAAATGGGAGAACTTGCAAAATAGCAGGGTGCTCAAATAGTTATTTTCACCACTGTATATCCATATGGTAGAAATCCTTTGTACATTCCAAAATAGTTGTTTGGCATTTATGATTTATGCAAACCTAATGCAAAATATTTCTGGGACTAAGTATTGGTTTAAAATCTTTAGGTATTTCAATATTAGGATAGAAAATTAAATAAAGATAATGAAGCATTGCTATTTATTAATCAATTACTAATTGTCAATATTTGCATTACAATCAACCTTAAAAACATATTTGTTTCCCAATCCTGAGACAAACGTGTGATGAGGTAGTCGACAGGATTATGACCAAATAATGAAGCGTGCTCATCATCAAGCAATCATACAGGAAACTTTGTACTGTAGCACCTTGATGACAAGTGCCTGGGGGTGAAGCAATCCAACAACAAATGCCTTCAATTCTGTTTCCTGCAGGTGATGTACAGCAAGGACAAACACAGCCACCCTAGCGTGGTGGAGACCAACAACACCTCCTTGGAGTTATCACTGCCAACCAACCAAGAGTATGTGATCCAGATTAAACCTTTCAGCGAGGGAGGGGAGGGCATAAGCAGCGACCAGATTACCATACGCAAACATAAAGGTGGGTTAGCTCTGAGAAATAAAATCCAGGTTTATACCTTAACATTTTAGAGATTTTCTTTTTGATTTTGTTCCATCTTCACTTTTGTGGCTTTTCCTGTGACTCAGATTTTGAAAAAGTAAAACTGTGATGTTAGATAATAATAAACCCTCTAAATACAAGTTATCACACAGTTGCATTTAATTGAGTAATTACTTCTTGTCTCTCTATGAGTAATTTTGCACATGTGACTAAATGGTTAAGAAGTCATCCCTTTCATATAGTACCTGTTAGAATAGTTGTTTTTTTCACAAACCGGAGAAGATATTTATAATTGAGCAGCATTCTGGCTTCATCCTGCACTTTAAATTGGAAGGAGCTTGTAGTCTTATGGTGGACGTTTGCATTTTAATCAAACATGTCTGTTGATGCACTGATTCATCCTATAAGCCCAATGAAGGTTTTCAAAACAGTGCCTGTTGTGCTACTGCCATCTACTGATTGCTAGATGTACTCACACCTAAAGTACTTCAGTAGTTTGTGTGACTAATGGATACATTTAAAACTGTATGTTTTCAGTTTTGATCTGATGTATGTATTTCAGATTCAATAACCATGGGAGCAGCCCCGGCGTCTTTGGGATTTTCAGTGGTCAGCCTTGCAGCTGCTATTCTCACAGGTAGAATTCTGCTATGACAAACATCTAGAAAATACAGCTTCTTATTCAAAGGGAAGGGACAGCAGGTCAGAGACTACACAAGGCCTACGGCCTCATTTCCTCTTCCCTTCTCTACCCTACCACATCTCTCCTCTACAGACCACAAAGGTCTTTTTTTGTGAGGAAGATTATTTTTCTTCACATTTCTAAGTGGTCGCTGAAAGGAATTTCCACTTTAAGAATTTGCTTTTATGAAACTGAAAAGGACGCCTTGACTCAACTGACTCCAGCCTTTTGGAAGATGTGTTTTTCTCATCTACTTTCTAACTGCTGGGTATTCTCATACATTTGTCACCTTGGAGGATAAACTAGGACATGTAAATTATTTCCAAAGGACCTTTGCAGGTTGTTTAAAAAAGTTACTTTTTGCGTGTACTACTGAGTTCTTTCTTCATGAATCGAATTGAAACATAACTGTGATTGAAGGGGACCTAGCCTAACCTTGACCATGGAAGATCAGAAGCTTTTTTTCTTTGCCCACAAAATGATTATAATTCCATTAAATGGAACACAAATGGGTTGGACTCTTTGCTTTAAGACATAACAACATTTGGGACCTTTCTGTTTTTCTCTGCTTCCATTCCTCACATTACAAGTTGCCATAAAACTGAATGGAACCAAAGGTATGTGACTGACATAGTGCAGCTCCACTGCTATATCCCAAGAAAAGGCAGCCTCTACACCCACCCCCTTGTTTAATTTCTATGTCAAGCAGCTGGCTTATGTTAAAATAAATTCCTCACTTTGCTCTATAATCCCTCATCAGTGTATAACCAAGGCAAACATGTATGGAAACCTCAGGTCCCAAATGAGCCTTAAAGTCTCATAATTACCATTCAGCTTATCATTCAGGAATTATTATTTATTATTTTTATCTTTTAGATCATACACAGGAATCTTAGCTCCAGATCATGTCTTTGAATGTTTAAAACTCAGAAAACTAAATGCTTTTTGTTGTCTTTATGTCCTGATGAGCATTGTTAGGTGATGCAGATTTCTGGCTTTTCTAGCTTAGTTTGTATCAAAACCAGAACAATATCTCACTGTCAGTCGGTCAATTTGTGTTAAGGATGGTTGGAAAGAATAACCTTTTAATAAAGATCATGCCATTTTCCTCTTTTCTGTCATCAGTGTTAACGTGTTGCCAAATCTTTAAATGAAAGTGTTGCCTTTCATCCGGCTCATGCAGTTTTGGGTAAAGCTTTTAAGACGTGTTTATATCACTTCTACATTTCTACTTTTTGTCGTGGAAATATTACATTTGCATTAAAATTTCTTCCGTCTATATAAAGTTGCTGTTGTTTTGTTTTGTTTTAAAATAATCGAACCAATAAGCTACCACAATGCTTTTCCCATTTTTTGTCATGTTCCAACTAGAGATGCACAGATCTGAAACCGGGATATTGGCTCCGATATTGACTAACTAATTAATGGATCGGATATCGGTGATGTGATATTGAATATCAGAGATCCAATTAGTGCACTTTACATGCAACTTTTCTTTCTTTGTTTTTGTTGCTTATTTGTTAATAATATAAAATATAAAGTACATTTATATTTCTGTGATGATTTGTAACCCTTTTTAACAATATTATTTCAAGTTTAAAGCCTCCATTCACATGGGAAAATATGTGATTGATTCATTAAACAGTTGAATCAGATTGTATTGGATATCAGCCAATACAGTAGTAGCCATTCAAAATTCCCAAACCTTTCCTTGATGGGCCCTTGGCTAGTTCTTGGCTGGTCCCTTACAATTCCTACAAATCCCAAAATATTATTTATGTCATGATCTGTGGACATTAAGATCGAATGAGAAGCATTATCTACTGACCCTGTAATTCAGTGATAGGGTGGAATCAGAGTTAAAAAAAAAATGCACGCCCAGGAGAAGGCCAGTGGCTGGAAGTTGGAGGGGAATTTGCTGGGACTTTCAGGGAAGTTGGCTTCCATTCGACTGGCATTTGACTGAGAAGGGCCATTTTGAATGGCTGCTACTGTATGCTCCACCAAGGTATTGGTTTTGGATTAGATTGGAAAAAAATGGATTGTTGCAACTCTAGTTCCATCTAACTGTTTTGGATTTCATTGGGGTGTTATGTTGGACAATACAAAGTAGTGCATATTCACAAAGTGGTAGGAAAACATTGTATGGCTTTCTATAATGTATTTAAAGCCAAAACCCATTATTCTGATGCTGAAATCAAATCCAGTGCAAGTAGTTACCTTCAGTGACTTCTGAGGAAATCTACAGATAAATGGATCTCAGTATAAGTACAGGTACTCTCTATATGTTAGAAAGCATTATTGAGAAATAGCATCATGAAGGAAAGGAAAAAAGCAGACAAAGTTGTGCATTAGTTGCAGGGAAGTGTAATGAAACATCACTAGTTTTTGACATCCTGTATCTTGTGTGTAGCACTTTCCTTTTGTTGTTTTTTTAGATTGTATTCAAGTTTAACATTGAATTCAATATTTATCATGTTGGCTGTTATTGTTATAAGTTGGTGAGTGTCAGTAGTAACCATGGAGACGATGCAGAGGGAGGGGTCTAAGTAAGGAGGAGAAGCTAGAGGGGGAGGAAACGAATGAGAACACTGCAAAAACGTTCTGAAAATTAGTAAACATTTCTTAAAGTGTATTTACCCTTAATTTGAGTAGGAAAACAAGATGGAATGAGCATTTTTACCTTTAAAATAAGATAATTAGATAAGATGCTCTTCAAATAAGAGACTGAAGTTTGTTTGTTTTTTTCTTATTTTAAATGTAAATTGTTTTATTCCATTGGCAGTGTCTCACTTACCTGTTCAATTCAAGAAATAATACACTTATTTTATGAAAAAACTATTTAGATTTACATTTGAAGAGGCAGGACAGTTGAACAGGAACCTTTAAAAAGTGCTGGATAGAAGTTCAGTGCACAGGACAGAATAGGCAAATGGTCTTTCCTTAGATTTGTAATAACTTCAGATCTGAGGATTGTAATCCAACTCTTAGCTTTTTGAAATCTGAAAACAGGCTGAAAAGTTATTTTAGAAATATCTTTTATTTCAAGATAAAGCTTTGGGTTTTGTTTCTTATTAATTTGCTTAGGTTTTTATAAGCTGCTTGATATGCTAAACTGAATAAATAGTTATTTTCACATAAAGTTGAAATCAAAAGCTTCTTTATACATCAAATAAAATTTTCATATGAAAATTACAGTTCCACTGTATCCATAATGTGATTGAAGGGCTCTGTGAACCAATGTTCCAGGCTGAATTATAACCGAAGCCTTCCCCTGAATATTCCAATAACTTAGGAAGCTACAGAAATAACTCAGGTAGAAAAATCCGTGTACAGGACAGCTAATAGTTATGCAATCTACAAGTCTGTGGCATGTTTGTTTGTAGTTTGTTTTTTGTTTTTCACCCACATGCAGAAACAGAGCTAACCAGTGGGTTTTAATGTTTTATTTACCAAAGCAACAAGAACCTGGAAGCAGAACTTTCTGGTTGGTCTGAGGGGAGAAAGCAGACTGATCAGGAAAGAGTTTTATGACAACTGATGACTGATTTATTTGCTTATTTATGGGATGAAGGGGAGGTAGCATGGATCTGTCGGGGTTCGATTCAGCTGGCTTTGCTGTACCGAGGAGGTGAAGAAAATGGGAGTGAAACCGGAGAGCATTGGTACTGCAGAGACGTCCTGTTATAGAGCGGGCATGCAGGTGATAAAGACTGAGAACTGCTGCACACGGGTAAGACCTTTCCCATGAAGATCAGAGACAAACTGAGTTTCACTACTGCAGTTGTCTGTATTAATAACAGAGTCCACATTGCTGGTGAAGGTTCTCTTTCATCCTGGTCATAGTCATTGCAAAAAAGTAAAAAAAAAAAAAACAAAGTCCAGTGGGTGTTAAAACCTTTTTGGAAAGAGTCCACATTAAAAGAGACTCACAAGCAGACTGCTTATGAAAATGTGCTTGCAAATGTTCTCAGGTTTGCAGCAACATGGGTCTGCGCAGCCACTAGCAAAGATCCTCTCTGTGACAAGATCACTCATACCAAAAAAAAGCAAAAACCCCAGAGACCCCAACAGTCTGGGACATGTGATTGCATGACAAGAAGAAAAGCACTACTGATTGAACAGTGAAATTTCAGTCTAAGGTGCACTACTGTAGAAGCCATGTAGGAGGAAACAGCAGACAACAGATGGAAGAAGATGCTCTGGCAAAATGTGTGTTGGTCTGTTACATAGAATCCCAATGAAATATACTAAAGCTTTTAGTTGTAAACTCAAATTTGCTTAAAGGCCTACAAATATTTCTGATAGGTGCTGTATGACTTGGTAAAAATGTTTATATCATATTAAGTCTTTTATAAATTAATGTATTTAGGTTGCTCCGAAAAAAAAATTTAAAACTTGAAAATGTAAACCTCGCTAGGTATTAATTTATTAGTAATTGTTAATTGTCCTTCAGGCTTATCAGTGTCTTTATAAAAAAAAAAAAAAAAGGATCCAAATGTATGTCAATGTGCTCACGTTACTCCTTGATGTTGTCATCTTCGTAATTAAAAATCAACATCCTGTACATTTCTACTGCTGGTTTGAATTTACACTTTATCTGCTTTGTGCCTTTTTTTAATCTACAACAGCACTGAATTATTTATTTCTTACCTCTGGGTTAAAAGGGAATCCTAATCAGCATGTTAAAAATAAAGTTGAGAAAAACCAATGACCTACTTGGTTATCTATACCTGAAAATGAAAAGCCAATTGCTTTATTAAGAATTTCATATTAAAATATAATTTTCTGTATTGTCATCAGAACTAATTTCCAAAGAAAAATGTTTTGACAAATAAGTGACACATCTTCAGCCTTCTTTCAGTCTTTATTTTTTTTGGGATGAAGCACAATGTACAGCAAAGACACACCACCAAGCAATGCAAAGCAGCAGAGAAGAGAAGATGGAGGGGAGACAGAGAGGACTCTGGATCAACCAGAGGGCATCAGACACAGCTATCCCAAGGCGTCTTAGCAAATTTACCTTTTTTTGAGACATCCTCTGGTAAGTCTGTCCCAACAGGATTTGCATTAGTTTGAACATTGATAGAGGATGGTGAGGAGTTCAGGTGGGTTTGTTTGCAGTTGATACAGAGCTCACTTGTTTAACGTAACTGATTCCTCCTAGTGCACATCCTACCCATGACCATTAACTACTGTACTTCACATCTTTACAATCCACCAAACAGCACCAAAAGAGCAGCATGAGGAATGAAAGGCTGCATTTTTTTTCCTTAAACCCTCCAGCTAAACACTGCTATATCCTTTTTCTTTTCACCATAACTTAAAAAAATGATGCATTAAAATCAGAAAAACAGAAGCTACACCATATGTGAAAAATGTATTGTTTTGTGTTTAAAAGTAAAATATATTCAGTGGTGCCCTCATAAACCTGACATGACAATGTGTTGCTTTGCCTTATTTTTAATCTACTGACAATATTTATTTGTGATGCATTTATTTGATTAATATATAACATTTGACTTTGGCAAACTGGCAGAAAATGTATTCACCATATCAACTATTTTCCAGGGAAAATATTAAATATTTAAAATTTTAAAGGGAAACCTTGTCGTGTCAAGTTTATGTATTTGACTGGCACTCCTGCAATTAAAATGAGTTTTTTTTTATAAAAAGTTTTTGTTTTCATTACAAAACCAGCATTTGTACAATATCACTGCTATCTGAGTTGGCACGTTACATCTGCGGCATTCATCTAACATTCACATACTAAGTCTCACATAGCTAAAAGTTCCGATGATTCTCCTACAGTATATTTTATTTAGGATGTTCTCGACATGACATGTCAGAAAAGCTAAAGTTTTGACACAACATGTAAACAAAATAGTTTGGAAGAAGATTGAAGTTGTTGCAAATCAATATGAAAAAAATGAAGATTATTTAGTGCAACAAAATGAGAGCCAGCCAAAGCTCTTTAACTTAAGATTAGAATAAAAATTGAACTGATATGTTCAGATATTATGTACAGCACCATCAAAATAAGATGAAAGTGGGTTAAAAATTAAAAGATTCAACCACAACAATGCACTTTTGTCGAATTTTCCAGTACAGGATGAAGCGAATGTTTAGTTCCTGCTCAAGAAAATTTTCCTTGTTTAAACAGCAAAATTGTGAAGATTTTAGGCTTAATTTATTATTATCAGTCAGTTTTCTTTCATCATAATCCTCTTTCTTACAATGCAGTAATGCAAGAAATTATATCATGCAGACATTTTCTCAAGTACTACTTTTACCGATGCAGCTGGGTTGTGAGTCTACTCTATGCGTTTACCACATAAAACAGCCAATGTGGTGTTACATCCAGCTGGACTGTGAAAGCTTATCTAAAGGCAGAGGGGGGAGAGACACTTAGGCTCATTCTAAAGTTTCAATACTTCACATGGCTCTGAATGAATCCAACAGGTTCAATAACAGATCCTACAGCAAGCGTGCATCCTTGCATATTTTCCACCCACACATCCAGTAAAAAAAAAAGCACATAGAAAATAACTTACTGACTTAAAATGATCAGACAGAGATGACAGCAAACTTCTCCAATCAGTGCATTATTTTCCTCCATCGTCCAGTGATGTTCAACCAATGATGCAGAAATTATGGTTTCATCAGTATCTTGCTTCATCTAAAACCTTTTTTGAAATCTTCATTGTTGGTTAGTTAATTCTCTATTGTCCCAATCAACAAATCGTGAACAACATTTCCAGCTTTTGCTTTTCATGTTTTCAGATACATTTATATTCCTAGATAAACTCTTTATAATATATTTCAAATAATATTTCCCTATTGATATTTATGACGGTTGCCATCACACAATTTGATGTGACATTAATCTGTAGTGATTCATGGAACAGGAACCCTTTCTCAGTATTTTCCTTTAAGGAATACTCCAACACGTGTTAAAAGTTAAGGCCCTGAGAAATTTTGCAGGAAATTTGGTTGGGATATTAATTTAATTGTTTATCATCTTTTGGAATCTTTTTGTGTATTTTTCAGCTGAAGAGCATGGATTATACTATCACAACTTGATTGTGAGTGACTCCCTTTATCATTTTCGATCAATATGAGGAAAATTATGGAAATCTAAACTTTAAAGGTCCATTTCGCCATTGTACCAGCAGGTTTGTCTGAGTCCTGCTGACAGTCAGCTTTTTAGTAGGGATGGTGGGTGGTGGCTTCTTGTCAGGTACTGACACGTCTTGTCCACATGGGGGCACTCTTGCTTCAGTAAAATGGGACTAGGGCGGAAAAGAAACACAATCACTTAACCTTTCAAGACAAAGAGATATTACCCAAAGAAAAGACAGCAGCTGTACCTATGATGTGCCATGTTGATCCTCACTGGATGGTTCTATTTCCCTAATGACAACTGCCTTGGTCACCTGCATGTCTGGGTGCTGCTGTTTGGCTTCCTGTATTGCAATAGCCAGAGCCTAAAAAAACAGAGTGAGTCTTGTGCTTTATGTAATAAATCTTAAGAGAAAACGTTTGACACTTCAGTAGATAAAAAAGATTTCCAGTTTTGAATTACTTTAGAGTAAATAAGAAACAAAGTAACAATTTCTTAGTCATCTTTTTCTATGTTTAACAAAGGCATATTAACTCTTAATTAGTCAGTAATAAGTACGTATTACTCATAGCTACTTTTTAAGCAAAGCAAAACCAACCTATGTACTTACAGCAAGACCATCGTTAACTGACTTAATCATAATAAATAAATCATAATACCCAGTTACTTCTAGAATTGGGTCAGTTTAATTGGAAATGAATATGGGTTTCATAAAAGGCATAAAACATATATGCACATTAATCATTCCACACAATAAAGTGTTGCAATAATTTCCATTTAACATTTCATTTGACTTCAAAAAAAAAAAAAGCTAAATGATAAATAACTAACACTTTTAAGCTGTCTAACCTGCTCTTGGTCTACGTCATCATCCCCGGTGATAATAATCCTCTTCTCAATCCTCGTCTCAGAGTATCCACCTTTCACCGTCTGCAACACAGTGTGAGGGAGCTCAGTAGATCTCACATTTGAGAGATGAGCAGCTGATAAGACAGTTACAGCAACTGCAAGATGATTGCATGTGCTTTGATAGTCTTTTTTTCTACCTTTGAGACATGAGTGGTGGCTGAGGTAACATTTTCAGCAACAAGGATAGGCGAGCCAGACGACTCTCTTCCAAAACCACCCCTGTGCACCTGATAAAAGAGAAGAGTTATTGATATTAGAAAAATATAGCCACGCGTAAATTACTACAGCCTGAGCACAAAACTATTATGCCTATTCTTATTATTCATGTATGTGCTTGTTAAACCCTAATAATACCTGCCTGTTACTTGTTAAGACTGTTTCCAAAGCAGTTTATGTAATTAGGACAGTTCTTCGGTTAGAATAAAAAGTAATCATCTTCATTAGGTACATAACAGCGATTTAGGGAATGAACTGGATGCATTGTCCTTGATCTAAGAACACTGAGTATTATCTTCCCATGGCTGGAACCACTGATGTCTCCTCGTGTACAAACAGTACATGTAATAATCTGAGATGTGGCAGGATTTGATAAAATGCTTCTTTAACTGTTATACTTGGGTGACTTTCTGAAGAAACAAGCCTGATGGTAAGAAACCAGAGATTTTCTGGTCTGAGAAAGATTACAATTTCTGCCAAAATCTGTTGTCATGTCTCATAGTAATTTATAAAATGTTATTTAAAGGGTTTAATCTGAGCTATCTCTTTTTAGGAGAGAATCAGGGAGAGAAAGCTTAAAGATGTGAAAACAGAGCTTTCCTTTTACAAAATGGTGGGTCCACCCTGATCTGAAAGAGGTATCACTCATGAGGAGCCACTGCAGGACCAACCCCACAGCTTTTAACAAATTTCTCCAGTGCTTTTAGAGGGGCGGTTCTCTGGATTTGGTGAACTTTGGGTTCTCAGGTTGCAAAAAAGTGCCACAAAAATTGTGTCTCTCAGCATGGCATCTACTGCACTGAGGGACAATTTGAACTTCTAAGAAAATACATAATCCAAGCTTAAGCATGAAAACCCAAACATTAGCTTCTTTGTTGCTTAGATTGTATCTTCTGTCTCTTTCAAACTCTTCCTTATCTTTTTTCTCTCTGTTTTGTTCTTTAATCTTTCTAAATTGCTGCTCCACTAGAGAGAATAGATCTGCCTGGTATGGCAAACACAGTAAGAATTGACAGGAGTATTTAAGGTATTAAATAGTTCCCAAAAACCAAGTGACAAAAGGATACTTAATAACATAAAGGTCAAATTAGTATTTCGTCAGAACAAAAATATCCCAGATGAATGAGATAATGTATAAAGTGTGTTTTTACTGTTTCCAGGTAAAAATAGGGTAGCCCAATACCATACTACTTCTATGTCAAACCTATAGGCTGAGAAATTACCAAAAGTTTAAAACATTAAACTAAAAAGTATTTTAAACTAAATGGTAGCATCTTCATTTTAAAAATGGTAATTGATCAAAATCCTTTACAGGTTTGAATATAACTGGGAGATGTGATTATTTACTAATAATTCATGTATTTTAACCAAATTAACCAAAAAAACATAATAATTCATTTATTTTTTTGGTTATTTTTTTTAGATTAGCAGAAGTAACTTGAGGTTAGTGGGTTTTATTATTATTCACAAATTTTATTTTAAGAAATGAAATAAACATTTTTCAGTGTAGTCACGTTTATTTTGCAAACCTCAATGCATAAGTAGCTCATAGAAATAAAATAAAAATATTTAAAAAAAAATTCAAATATACTGTTGTTTTATAAAAATATGGATATTTTCATTTCTCGTCATCAAATACTTTTGGGGTTTACTTTAAGGGCAAATCTTTGAGATGAGACTGTTGGGCACAGGGTGCGCTGGATTCGGGGTGTGACCCTAAAGCACTCTGGTTCTGAAATGAGGTGAGAGTTTGTACTATTAAAACACACAGAAATTGCTCAGAGAGTAATTATGGAAACATGTAGATTAATAAAAAAAGGGAGATGAGTGCAGTCATTGTACGCAGTGGCTTTGAGTCCGGGGAGGCCTGATCAAACCTCTAGATGCAGAACTGCGTATTATGGAGAGAAGTTGGCTTCAAGCCAAACAGGTTCAGCAGGCAGAAAGGGAAGTTGTTATTATTCCCTTTATCCCTGCAGAAACAAAAGATGCCTTCCTTCAAAAGAGAGACGTACAATATGGCTAATATTTTGGCTTGTGCTTTTACAGTTTTTGCCTTAAGGAAAAACAAGAAAAGGGAAATATTGAGTTATAAGGGACTCCAGGGAATGCTTAAAAATCATTGAAAAATACACCTATTTCCAGGTTGATTCTAGCAAATTGTTGGCTTGTGCTGCGAAAAGGTGAGCCGAAGGGGAGTGTCGAGTCCAAGGGACTCTGAGGATTTCGTAAAAAAAAACCTTGAAAAAAAAAAAAGTTGCACAATGTTGGTGAATCTTCACCCAACATTGAAAAGAGTCTAAATGTTTTCCTTGACGACACTATCTTTCAAATCATATTTTACCATCAATACCAGCCTATTCCCACTTATGAAATATCAGTCTCCTCCAACCCCCCCTCACCCCCCACACTGCTGCCACCCTTGTCCACAGTCTTACTTCCTGTCTGGATTATCATACACTTTCTCCTTTCTGGTCTCCTCATAAATGTCTCCATGATCTTCAACTGATCAAGAACTCGGCCTGCATCATAACTTTCACCGCTCCTGTCCTTCAGCAGCTTCACTAATACCTGGTGCTGTCTCATATCCAGTGTGAATCCTGCTGTTAAAATTTAAGAAAATTAATATAATTGATGCATTGATCCTGCATATCCATCAGACCTCCTTTATGTTTCCACTCCATCCTGGCCCCTAGATTCCTTTTCTCTGTACACCTGCATTGTTTTTTGTTGCTATTGTTATCATTAAATTAGTAACAAAGAAAATAATATAAATGTTGTAAATTGTTAACTAACCTAACCCTGCTTTAAACTTTCTTTCTGAACTGTTTACTGTCTCTCTTGGTCGAATATTTCTTAACTGAGCTAAGGTATTTCCACTGAGATCAATTTACAGTACGCACAGAGTAATTGGATTTACTTTTGCTCAGAGGCATTAAGGAACAAGGGCAGACTATTAATTGCTTAAGAAAAAACTATTGGACACATATCAAAATTGTACATAAATATGTGTGTTAGTCTATCCCATAATTTACCATAATGCACGAATGCATGCACAGATTATTTTAACATGCCAAATTGAGACAAAGTCTGAAGGGTCAGAATACTTTTGGAAAGTTCATTATTTCTCTTCATTTTAGCAAATTCTACCAAAAACTCAGAAGATATCTTTGACTATAAGGCTGTTTCCAGTATGGGCAGCTATGTCTGATAATCATATCCCTATGGACACAAGTGTGAGCCCTGTCTGTTTTGACTAGTGGCTCCACAATGATGGATCAAGCTACAAAATGGTTTCAGGGTATTTTCTGTCCTACTTTCTCCTCTATAGAAACTATAACGTACACATCATTTATCTGGGCTTCTTGCTTGTCTAATTTTTGATGAAAAGGGAAAATCCTCTATATGGTGATGATTTCAGGTTAAGTTAAAATAGGTGAGGTTCTTGGATTATACTCACTGGAGATACGCTTTGTCTCGTAGAATAGGAAACCTCACTTAGCCCTGTGATACCATGATCCTGAAACAGAGATCAAATCCATGTCACTTGTTTTACTTTGAGTAAAATAAAGATATATCCATTGTATAAAACTGAACACCTACCTGATCTGTGAACTCCACAATGGTGGTGGTGAGCTCTGATCCGTTAGGCTGTGTCTCTGTCCTAGTGTCTGTTTTCTTCACTGATGGAGCGGCCATGATGTCACTTGCATCTCTGCTGAGAGGAGTTACTGTAGGGACTCGACTGGCTTCTTTGTGGGACTGATCTCTGTCCACTGATGACGACACTGGTACCGACCTTTTTGGTTTTTTAGGAACAACCGGCTTGCAAAAAATAACAGGTTTGCTTTTAGCATATACTGGAAGCTACAGTGACCATTTTGATACACAAAAATGTAAAATTGTTCAATTTTTAAGGCATATTAGATTTTTCTCTGTTAAATCCAAACATTCAGAAGGATGATTAGGATTATTAAACATAAAGAACTTCAGTCTACCTGGCCCTCTGGCCTTTTAACATCTGGTCGGCCCTCGGGTCTGACCTCAGATCGGAATTCTGGTCGGACTTCTGGTCGAACTTCTTCAGGTTGAATAAGTTTGGCAGGGGGGCTGCCACTGGCCCCTCTGGTGAGAGGAGCAGGTACTAATGGAGGGGGTGGTTCAGGGGGGGCTTGTTGCTGAAGCATATCGATCCCAAAGCGCAGCCCCCCATCAGGTGAGAGATCTCTCTCACCTAACTCAGACATACCCCTGGAGAACTCTTCCATTCCAGTTTGAAGGTCTGTAAGAACTGTGAAATCTACCTCAGCTTCAAGGCTGGATGTAGAGCTAACGGTGATGCTGGAACACTTGCGCTCAATGCCCAGGTGGGTTTCCTTCAGGTAGAGGATCTCATGGTCCTGGTCGTCTTCAGATACAGAGCCCAGACGCCTCTCCCATGGTTCCTTCTACAGAGATAAAACTGTACATTATCTTTAAGTATGAATAAATATATTCTTTGTCTATCAACAGCAAACATATTTTTCTAAATCCTAGCTCTTCGATTTCAGCAAATACATTTTGGATTTCATAAACTGCCCTGCTGTTTATATTATTTACAATGGTGATTATTGTGTTGGAAAGACTCCCTTTTGTTGGTGCAGCTTTCAGTCGGTCTAGATCCCATGACCTACTCTATGCTGAAGGAAAATAACAAAGCCCAGCTGTGCAGAGGGAATAATTACTCTACACAACACAAATTTGAGTGAACGAAATGAAAAAAACAAATCTTTGTGTATGATTTATTTGCATATTATCAACTAGGAATGCACTAAAAAAATGTTTAAGAAAAAAATAATTATCACAGGAAAACAAGCTGGCATTTGCCTTTCACCTCAACAAAGAAAAAATTGTCAATATGAACAAGTTTTTCCTGAAGCTTTAGTTGTCCAGTTAGTTGTTTTTAAAGAGATTTAATTATATTAGAGGTTGAATTGTTGAATCATTAACTGCATTTTATTGTACAAAATGTATTAATTGTAACAAGGTATGAGACTTTACTTCATAAAACTCAGAAACGTAATCCCAAACTGCTCTTTTAATGCATGAATATTCTCTACAAATGTGTGACCAAATCAATGAAAGAACAGAACTCACTGAGGTCTCGCTAAAATGCTCCTCATGGATCGCAGGTGTAGGGGGAGTCTCCTGTAGGTGGAAACACAAACAAATGGCAAACATTAAGATACAATTGATAATGGATGTGCAGACCAGAGCGAGAAACAAAAGCAAGGTGGAAGTTGACGCTTTTGTCACTTTCCACCTTACAGTATTTCTTATTCATGTTGGAACATGTACAATTTCTTTGGGGGAAAAAAACTGTATTCAGTCCTGTTAAATTTACTTCTATAGCACTGGATGCAGGTTACGGGTAACTTCTTAAACATACATTTGAGAATTTCCAGAAACTCTACCAGAGTAGAGTTGCTGTCAGAGGCATGCACTTGAAGTATCATTCAGTGTTTTACATCAACAGAAATGATTGCAAGTCCAGTGGTAATGCCATGCACTGAAAGGTCTGATTTAAATAAAAATCCCTTTTAGAGCAGATGTATTCACATTTAGAAATGCAGCATATGAATACCCCAGCCCTGAGGAAACTTGGCAGCTCCGCAGCATACGATTACTTCTAATAACCTTTTTTTTCTTGTTGCTACAGAGGTGCCAATGTAGAAGATTTAGTCCCAACGCTTTTTTTCTTTTTTTTTGCCAAAACAGGGATTTGAAATATGTCAAAAAAGGCTTGGTGGGAAAATGGTGGTAAGGTCTTGCACTCCTTGCAACAACAGCGTCCTTCACTCTGTGAGGATGTTGGAAGGAGAGACCATGTTAAGGTGATAAAGTTAAGGACACCTGAAGCTTAAGCAATATGAGCTTTGCTTAAAGACCCATAGCATTCTCAAAAGGCCAAGCAGTTGTCAAGTTCTGCAGAAGAAATGCTCCCAATCCCATGGACGTGAACTGAGACGGTCAATGGTACGATGCGCAGGGAAGTGAACATTTGCTTGCTTGTAAGCAGCCACATGACTGTTGAAGGATATGTGTAATGTTATTTGTATTCAGATGATACAAAACAAGATCTGAACCACTCTGGCTGAAGCTCATGCAATGCTTTACTTTCCGATGATTGATAAACAGGCTGGAAGGTACTGACTGTTTACCGGTTGCTTCCTCTTAGCTGTTTCTTGGCTGGGGGTACGGTAGTGGATGTGGATGCTGTCAGTATTGTCTGGCTTATCTCGGGACCACTGTGTTTTTAGAGGTAGGGTACAAGGAGGAGCTGTGGGAAATTTGGAGCCCAACTCCAAGAGAGAATTGTCTTCCTGCAACAAATTCCCCTTTGTCCACTGGCCTTGTCCTGTTGAATCTTTGCCGTCTTTCGGGTCTTTCTGTGTATACAACGCATTTTTAGTTTGATGGGGAACTTGGGTTTGCCGATACAGCTCTAAGGACTGCAGGACAGTATTGCCATCAAGTCTCCGTCCTAAATCGCAAGACGGTTTAGTCGCCTGTTGATTCCCAGATGCATTAAGGGTGCTCCTGTCAGACTGGCTTTGAGTTTCAGGGTTTAAAACTTTGTTCTCTTTATTCAAAGATTTCTTTGATCTCTGTGGCTTCAGCGGAACTATTTTGGTGACTTCAGAATGTGAGTTTAAGGTTTTGTTGCAATCCTTTTCCCCATTGTGTCTCAGGTCTCTCATTTTCCCAGCCTCTGTGTTTGTTGTACCACATTCACATTTAGGTCTGTTACCCTTTGGGAAAAGATCCAAAGTTTCAATAGATTCAAAGTTCTTTTTTTTCTCTTGATGCTGGTACAGACAAATGTTTACATCTTTGTTCATCTTATTTATAATTTTTTCATGTGGTGAGTCATATCCATTTTCATTAAACATATTTCTCTCAGATGCAGAGTCACAATGTCCATTAGTTGCCTCATCCATCTTGTTAATTTCTCTCCTTCCTGATGACTCGGTTATAGATGTTCCAAACTTAGTGGTTAAGTATTCCCTGGATGTTTGGTAATTGTCCATAATTGCTTCAGACCCTAATGAGGTCTTACTCTTTTCTGCATTGATGTGAGAATCCAGTGTTGTCTCATAACCATCCTGCTTCTCAATCAATTTGGCATCACTGGTTGCCTAAATTGACAAAATAACAGTTTGCGTTAGTCTAAAAACAAATCTATTTTTAATTCTATCTTATCCCCATCTAATTTTTGTAAAATTAATAAGGAAGAGTTTTGAGTTCACAGCAACTTTCAAGTCACCCAAATATCATAAATAAACCATAAAGAAACGTTTGCTACAAATGTAGAAATTTAACTGATTTTTTTGTCATTACATGCTTGTTCTTGGACTTGTATTTCTTATGTTATTATAAGAAACAACATTGGCTGATACCATGTCACTAGTAAAATGTTACAAAAATCACCTTTGAAGGATAAAGACATTCTTGCACACCTGTAGGATCTTAACAAATACTCTTTGTACCATTGACTTATGTTGACTGCAACCTCATATAAATGCCACAGACCCAACACATATGTCAGTTACAAAGTGTATGAAGCAGTGGCCAAACAACATAGGATCTCAATCTGTGAGTACAATATGCAAGTGTTCTTTCTAAAGATTTACTCACCTTGGCCCACTAACCCATTAAAGAGCAATTAACCTGCAAATTGACTTTTTTTTTGCAAAATAAACTGTATACATGGATGTCTTTTAGTGCTTTCTACATGTACTATTATTTTGACAATCTTCTGCACATTTGATGATAGTATACTTGCAAAGAGAGAACAATTTTTAGGGTTGCTGCAAAATAGATGGTGGATGCAACAGCCTGGAACCAATTGCAATTTCTTAAAATACATGCAGCTCTGAAAGATTATTTCTTAAAACTATAAATGTTTTTTTTATATTGTTATTAATTATATTAACCCAATAAAGGTATAAAGTATTTTTTTTCTCTAATTCATCAGAGTCAACCATGAAATTATGAGTTTATGGTAGAGTTAGAGCACTGAAGACAGACTGACTTGTAAGTACTAATAAAAAAAGATGTAGATGTAACACATGTCCATGAAATTTATGTTATCTACAAGTAAAAAAAAAACAACAACTCTAATGCTGCGTTCACACCGGGGGCAGCAAAAGCAGCAAAATCGCGTCTGCTGCTTCATTTTTGCTGCTTGTACCAGTGAATTCTGACGCGTGTCTGAAGCAGCTTTGCTGCTCTCGCTGCGCGGTCCAAAAGTGGGTCTGACGCGCGTTGGGCGGAGCTTCACTATCCTTTCTCTGCCTTGCAGCTATATTTGCTGTGATCAGTGGGAATAAAGTAGTTTTAATATGTTTTTAAGTGAGAAAATACACCTGAAAACTTCATCAGTGGAGTCAGTTCATCCAGATTACAATCCTGCCTCCCAATATTATTTCTGTCGGAGCCGCTCAGACCCCCACATACCAGCAGTGCACCGACAGAAGGAATCCATTCATCAGCAGCCTCTGGCCGGGTCGCCTCCTCGCGGTTCATCACGGCGGCTGGTAGGTGTTTTTCATCTAAATAATCCGATCTGCAGGCACCAGAATAATAAAAGCGAACATATTCTGCCGGCAGATGTATATATTTTAAGTTAATTATGCTTTAATAAACTGTTTAAGAGAAGTGATCAGAGCAGTCTGTGTCATCAGCACTGTGTCTCTCTCCCAGCCAGCTCCCAGATCAGCTTCTCTGATTGGTTGACGCGGCGCGTCGAGCAGCAAAAATTCAATTTTTCCATCTCGAGCAGCAGCGCGTTTGCGGCGCGTCACGCGCGTCAGATGCCAAAACGCGCCTGACGCGCTGCTTCAGCTGCTCAGACGCGCTGCGCTTGCTGCTCGAAACGCGCCGCGGGACCTTTTGCTGCGCCTTGACGCGCGTCAACCATTGACTTTGCATGTAAACTTGCTGCTTCTGTCGGGCCAGCTGCCCCCGGTGTGAACGCAGCATAAGGTTAACATTTAATCACCTATAGGTGACATTTTACAGTTTGAACATAAAAAGAGAAAAATCCCTAGAGATATCTCCTACTGTAATTAATTCATATTTTAATCACATTAACATATAGAAACAACATAAGAAAGATATTTGTTCCCCTGTTGATCCTAAGTGTCCATGTGCTGATGTGCAAAAAAAAAATATAAAAATCTCACCCAGCAAAATACCTTGAATAAAAAAAAGCAACAATGATCGATTAAAATGTTGTTAAACACTCCATAAAGCCTTGTTAAATCAATACTGTACTAAAGAGTTACAGTTGTGAAGGAAATTTACATTTGAACTTTATAAAACTAGAAGAAAAAAAAAGACTCACAGTTTTTCGTTCAGGGGTTCCGGCAGGAGGAGTGGCTGACGGGATCCTCTTATCTCTTGATGCCTTCTTGCTGTTTGGCTGCTTTAAAGCCCTCTTCAGCTCATTGATGCTAGCCTGGTGTTTCTGTAAAACGTCCTCTGGCTTATCCAAAAACTGCTGCTTAGACAGGAAAACATAAACAGAAAGTGATTTAAGGTCTTAAAAATATATTCTTTTAATTGCATTTTAATAAATGTAATTTTTCTGTTTAATAAATGAAATGCAAATTCCTTAACTTGACTTAAACCTCCTTTACTCACCACCTTTAAAATGACAGAAGATGATGGATTAAGAGCGTCAAGAAATAAACTGTAAGCATTTATTCCCATAAGACTTGTATCAAAATAATAATTCAAAAAATAATTCATTTATATATAATGTAATAATATAATAATATAAAATTAAAACAATAATATAAAAAAAATAAAATTCAAGCAGAGGACTTTTTACTGAGTCTCAAAATACCAGCCAAAGTTAATAAAAAATCTTTAGTATTTTAGAAAACTAAACCAGAACTGATTAAGTTTTGTAAGAATCTGATTCATATTAATAATTTAAAAAAAGAACTATTTAACAAAACAATTTTGAAACCAACATTCACAACCACTTTCTGACACGAAGTAATGCATTAGAAAATTACGTGCACCACAGTGGTAAAGCTTCCAATAGGACTTCCTTTCATCTTGGTGCATTCTGACACGTGGAAGATGCAGATGTAAAATCATCAACCAAAAACACCCGGTAATGTTCATACACAGCACATGTCCACAATAAGGACGAGCAGTACCTCCTGCTTGGGCCGATGGGGCAGCAGATCCTTCTCCGACAGACCGGGAGGGTGATGGGGGGGGAGCAAGTGAAGTGGAATGAAAAGTTTTTGGAGCAAAGCAGCAGGTTGAGATTTTGAGGGAAGGGGGGAGGAACAGATGTGCGCAGAGACAAAGAGGTAAAATGCAGCAGGTGAGTGAAAACAGGCAGGCAGGCAGGCAGCCAGAGGGACAAACAGAAACAGCTGACACCGTCTAGGAGTGGAGGCAGGATCTCTGACTCAGACTATTAAGCTGAATAATGTTCTGCCAAGAAGACAGGGACAATCCATTTTAGTGTCAGCCAAATTATAATTAATGCAGTCGTCTATTGATTTGGGTGTTTGGGAGAGGATTATTCCCATGCTTCTTAACCCAAAGATTTGATGAGAGCACATTTAGAAAACCACAAATAAGAAGTCCAATAATTTGCTCATCTAATTTTCATTTGTCCAGCCTAAAAAAAAAATGATTGCCCTTTATCTTGAACATTTAAATCCATAAATATTAATGTACTATTTTGGTATTTTATTTAGATACAGGCTAGCCTAATGCAAAT